TTAAATTACAAGTCCTGAGCTTTAAAACAAGTGATAGATCACTTAAATTGGATGTGTGTGCTAAGGGTTATGCTTGATCAAAGTTAGGGTAGAGAAATTAGAACGTACAGTTTTGACCAAATGAATAGTAAATTTCAATGAATAAACTACATGAATTTGGCAAAGGTTAAGTTCCAGTTTTATATTTTTTCCTTGTAAAGAATTGAAAGAGCTTCAAATAGAATTTTGAACTACCTCAATATAATTTTTCTACAATTAGTTATGATTCTTCAAAGTTGAACTAAAAATATGGAATTTAACCAATTAACCGTAACCCGAGAAACAATTGCAAATTTTCAATCTACGATTTTGTTTCGTGAATCGCTTGAACCGTAATGCTTCCAAGTACATACTCTAAGGGGTTAAAGGAAGGATATTTCATGCAACAATACAATGAAATATGCCCTCCCATCACCATACTCCTCCTTATAACTCCTTGACAAGGATCCGGGCTTTCTGTGCTGAGTAATCCGGCTAAAGGTCACCCTATTCACATCAAGCAACAAGTGCCCTCCTGCACCTACACTGCCCAAGAATGGACTGTGGTGTAAGAGGTGTCTACCCAAGAGCTCATTCTCAATTCCGAGCCAAGAAAAAGGAAGAACTATAGGGGTCTAAAAAAAAGCCAAACACTCGGATTAGTAGTGTAGGCATGCCGTGCTGGCTTTAAGAACAATTATCCTCCACATGACAAAATCCCAATCTCTACATTTGAACCCCATGCATAATCACAATATATATTAAAAATATCATAGTTCTTTAAAGTAAGATGATATAATTTCAAACAAACTAAAACATTTTTTCATTTTATGTAATAACATAATATTAGTATATTAAATTCAACACTACAAGAAAACATAAATTTTCAATAAAATACAACTTAGGCATAATTAAATCAACACACTTCCCACTTCACCAAATTTTGTCATATAAGAAAATACATACTTTATTCACAGGCATACTTTCACAAATTAATTTGAGAAAATAAAAACATAATAAACACCTTACAATCCAAAGCATGTATATAAAATAAATTAACCCTGTTTACTTCTACTTCAAGCTTAACCTCACAACTTGAGAAATAAGAGCACAAATTACAGACTCCGAAGTACAAGATAATATGCAAATAATGTAGATACAATTTAATATACATACAAATAATTAACTTAAATTACATAGGATTTATTATTATTAATATATATACATATATTTACTACGCAAAAGTTCTTACTTCAAATAACAATTTTTTTCTACCCAAAGAACTCATTCAAAATATATATATAAACTGTTGTTATCTAATATTGTAAAATTCTCAATTTATAATTTAAGTTTCCAACCTTAAAATTTTTGTAATAATATATCAAATAACCCAAATAAATTATTTAACTTAATTTTAATTGGTATAAATATGATATATATCATAAATGACAGATTTTTCAACAAAGTAAATTTAATTTTAAATAACATTAGTAATAAATGGACAATTTGAACCGATTAAAAATTAACTACTTATTTATCTCTAAATTTTTATGGTCATCTATTGTCAAAACTCAGTACTTACTCTGTACCCAAATCATAAAATTTTCTCCAAACATTATAATGATATACTAATATAAAGTTCTAAATATATAGAAAATATTCATAAAGAAAATTTAATAGAAAGTACTGTTTTTTTTTTACCTAAATGATCCCCAGAGCTTGTATTACCCTTTAGACTGCTAACACCTCTTTGCCTTTCTCTCAATTTCTATTTTTGCACCTCTCACTCTCTCTTTCTCTTCTCTGCATAACACTCCCTCCTTTTATTATCCTCCCACTCAATCATCCCCTTATTTTTCCTTCTTTAATAAACGACCCCATCCCCAATTTCTTACTCTTCTTTAAATGCATTTAGCTTTTCCACCAAAAGCTGAATGTTTTTCTGTTGTTTTTTTTTTAATTAAAATATATTTTTTTGTTTTTTGAAATAATATTTTTTATTTAGGATGTTACCAAAAACTTAAGGATAAAAGATAGTGAACTTACTCTTATTGTGTGCTTGATATGTATGCTTATGTGTTGATATCGTTTGATGATGACTTAGATTATGAATGATTGAATTTTGCTCTATTTCTTGTATATTCCATGGCCATATGTGAATAAAATATTGAGCATAAAAGCATGTCATTTTATAAGCATGTAACCAAGCATATCATCCAAGTATTAGTATTGCATGCATTAATGATAACGTTTGCTACTAAGATTCTTCTGAAGCTCACTCTCCATTAACCAACCCTAATAAGTGATAATGATCAAGCAAAGGATGCATGAAGTGGAAGCAAGAAAAGAGGAAAGAATTGAAAAAAGCTATTGTGTTAAATTATATAATTTGTATAACATTATATGTTATAATGTGACATTGATATTATGTGATGATAAATAATGATGATGGTGTGTATAATTGACTACGATAATATATAGGAATAGTTTATGGATTGATGGAACGAGATTATGTATGGAAAGAATTAATCATGAATTGTTAATGCAAGTTAGGGAGATAAAACATCCCTAAAGGAGCCGCAAAATAGTGACATAGTAGAAGTGAGGCAAATGATTGATTCTGCCCATGAAATTTAGCATGATTAAATTACACATCCTGAGCTTTTAAAAAAAAAGTGGTAGATCACTTAAAATGGATATGTGTGCTAAGAGTTATGCTTGACCAAATTTAGGGCAGAGAAACCAGAAAGTACAGTTTTTACCAAATAAATAGTAAATTTTCACAAATAAACTATACCAATTGGCAAAGGGTTGAGTCTAGTTTTATATTCTTTCCTGTAGAAAACTGAAAGAGCTTCAAATAGAATTTGAACTACCTCAATACAATTTTTCTAAAATTAGTTATGATTTTTCAAAATTGGACCAAATATATGGAAGTTAAACAGTGAATAGTAACCCGAGAATTTACTTTTAAATTTTCAACCCACGAGCTTGTTTTGTGATCTACTTAAACCGTAATGCTTCCAAATACGTACTCCAAGGGGCCAAAGAAAGGATATTTCAGTTAGCAGGGAAGTTTATGTTTGCTTATATTTATTTGCCACCATCCTAGATGAATGTAACACCTTATCCAAAAACTTATCATACTTAACACAATAAGTAATTCTAACATTACTACAATGGTAATAAAAAAAAAACAGGTTATAAAAATTATTTTAGATTTCTTTACTCTTTGCCAAATAACTATGATTAGGAGGGGGGAAAAAAAGGATAACCAACTAGTAGTATAATATATATTATGGTTATTAAAAAAGTCAAACTTACCCATTGTGTTATACTACTAACATGGTTATAAAAAGCCTTTCATATACCTTATTGACATAGTTTGTACATGATAAGTAATATAACCAAACTAAATTTAATTTATGTTAAAGAAATCCTCAGAAATGTTCAATTGTGGGTCCACAGCCCTCAGAGCTCTTAACAGAAAATTTATAATTGAGGACATATAAATAGTTTAAACATAGAGAATAAACAAAGACATGCATAATAATGTCCTAAGTAGAAAATAAATAATAATTAAATATAACCATAGTTTAAGGTGCGATCACCAATAAAGGTGACCTCACGCCTCTAGTTTCTTCCCCATCGTGACTCATCCACTGCTCTTACTTAAAAATGGTAGAAGTAACAGAGTAAGACTACCATCTCAATAATGAAAACTCCTATCCACCTCACCTATCAGTACCCCTCAGAAGCTCTAAGTGGGACTAACAATTTAAATAATCATTAACATATTATTATCACATAACAAGAAACAAACATCACAAACATAAGCTAAATGAAATATCAACATATATGCATGCTTTAATCATCATTCATTATCCATTGCTAATCCTTTAATTCCTACCCTATATCCTCCTTATACATGCTAACATAAACCAATGGGTGGAGTCCTAATCATATGATTGTTGACTCTCATGTGCTTTTCACACATGTCATATGAACTAAGGTTCAAAAAATCAGATTGAACATTAAACCGGTTGAGGTAGTGGTTCAAAGGTTAACGGGTCAAACAAGATTGATTTGGGATTAAACTGGCTACAATTAAATTAATATAATTTAATTAAAAATTTATAAATATGTTTATATTTAATCATAAAAGATAATATTTAAATAAATAATGAATTAATTGAATTGATTTCAAGCAAAAGAATAACCATTTTATTAAAAACTAATAATTCAAGTAAAATTTCTTAATGCCTTAGGCATGTCATAGGCCATACATTAATGATTGGGCTTAGCGCGGACTTGAAGCAGATGCACAGTAGAATTTTTTGACTTTCCATCTCCCCATATGAAGCCTCGGGAACTTACATTTTTAATTAACAAATGGCTTCTTCACTTGTTATATTCTCCTGCTCTTAGGCGTCTCTCTCTCTCACTGGACCAAAGGTAAAAATGCTGTCATTATAGTTCTTTTGGGTTGCTTGGTGTTGGCGAGAAGCCAAGAACACAGCTACAGTGGAAGAAACAACTAGAGGCATGATTAAGATGATAGATGAGAAGTGAGACATTCAATTTTTTGACTCATTTTTCTCTAATTCTTGATTTTGTTCTTATTTCTACTATTTTTCTTCTTACTATATGTTTTCTCTTCTTCCTCTTTTCAATCTTTTCTTCGTCGAACCCTTCCATTTTCCCCCCTTCTTCCCTTTGCTAGCCCCATATATGGTATTGCACCTAAACTTTAGAAAAAGTGGTTGATCCGGTTCACCTACTCAATTTACCAGTTTACCCAGTTTGTGCCAGTTCACTGCAGTTTAATCTAGTCTAATACAGTTCACTTTTTCACTGTTTTGTCTCTAAACCAAACCGAACCTATAACTGGTTCACTAGTTTCCAGTCTAAACTAGCCAGTCCAGTCTAATTTTTTATTCCTTGATACGAACTAGCCAAAGTCGACAGAGCACACGCTGGCCATGGCTTCCTCCAGAAAAGGAGGATGTTGCCCCAATAGGCTTACTGCCCAATATCCTAGTAGGGACGCTGCCCTCAAAGGATACTACCCTGTGATACTCCTAGAGTGTCGTAAATGCAAGGATACTACTCTCTTTAAGAGGCTAACCATAGAGCACGTTATGGAGGCAAACCACATGGTAATCTATGTATATCAATCTCCATCACAATACCTCTCGTGAGTGTTAAACCACTTAATTATAGTCATGACATTTCTCAATCACATCAAATATCACAAGAACAAGTATCATATGAGATTCAAAACATACCTTAACCACATCAGATAATTTATATCACACCATACAATAGTATTCTCAGGTAATCAAGGCAAAAACATATCATTCCGGAAACTCATGTCAGTATACAAAATGCAGTCAAATAAAATAGTAGCTTGGATACTTTGTCATGACAGACTACACAGTATGCCATAGTTTTGTAACTTTATCCAAAAATTATTAATCAGGCTTCTATCTAGTCCTAAAGTTCTAGTAATTGATTCTTTTTTCATGAACCAATCCAATCAGACATGTTCCAAATTTTTAAAAAGTTTTTCCATAATTTCAACATAATCTTCCTATTCCATATTATTCAAGATCTATCCTAACAGGTTCAATTTAATTTAAAACTCCTTTTAGAGGAACTGCTAGGAGAAACAAATAAGAATTCACGTTACATGGTGTCCAACAAGTGCTTATGAGTCAAACATTAAGACCCTGAACTTGAAGTCATCAAACCAAATTTCAGATCTGTAAAGGAAAAATATACGTTATTGTAGTATCTTATGGGTAAGCTATGTATTAAATTTCAACCCATAACTCCCTCTCTAAGATTTCTGAATTGTTACGCAAAATTCTAGCTCGTACAATTTTTCTAACATTTAGACTAAGAATAGGGATACCATGATTTAAATTTTACTCCTAAGTTTCTTTAGTTTTTGTTATCTTTCAGTTAATAGATTATATCACTAGAATCATCATTTACAGCTGATTCATAACCTAGGTAGAAAACTCTCAATTTATAGGCTTTGTTCTATTTTTGAAGAAATAAGAAAAACATATTTAATACGAGTTAAATTATTATCACTAAAAAAGTTTAATTATTAATCCAATTAGTGAAATTAATGTATTGGATATCTTCAGTCTATTCTCCAAATTTTGGCTCAATTTAATGATGAACAAATTTAAAAACAATAAGTTACTACTTAGGGTTCTATCTACAAAATATGAAAAAAGGAGTTCAATGCATACAAATAAATCTTACTTTAGAGATCTAATCAATGATCCAATCGTTGAAATTGACAAGCTATATGTCTTAGATTGACAGGCCCAATTTTAGCCCAATCCAATGGTTTATGAATTCATACATGGCACTTTATTAAGATTATCTCAGTTATGCGTGAAAATTATTTAACATGTTCTTAACTCCCCCTTCTACCGCCTATATATAAGCTTGTAGAGCCTTACCCTCTTGTCATTTAGTCGTTGTGGAACTTTTCGAATTTGTTATTTTATTCATTGATTCATATATATATAGTTATACATATACACACATACAAATGATTAGAATTATTTTAATTACTTATATATAAATTCTATTATATTGATGCTAATAAATATTTACTTATTAATTTACTTTAGTTTTAGGGATAGAAAAAAATTAGGATGTTACAATAACCCTCAATCTGTAAAGTTAAACCACTCTCAATCCCAAAAATAACATTAATGGTGGCATTTGGTTTGCTAGTGGTAGTGCTGAGGTCGAGGTTATCCATTGCATCTACAAAATATCATCCTTAACTTCTTGAACAAAAGGCATCAATAATTGAGATTCCCTATACTTATGCAAACTTGAATACTTGTCATTACACCAATAACACAACCCTTGTCGGCAACGATCTTCTATTTCTCTTTTAAAGAAGCAGAAGAAACCAAACAAGACTTCTATAGAAAAGAAAAAGGTGACAGTTTCAATTGAAAAGAGGTGGTAGCTTTAGGTGTGATTGACAATAGAGGCCATGTAGAAACAAAGGTATTAGACACAAGCAAGGAAAACAAGTGAGGTGAGGTGAATAAGCCAACCTTGTTCTGTGTATTCACCGTTCATTCTTGAATTCTTGCCATTGGCATCATACTGGACAAGCTCAGCATCTTAAATGCTTTTGCAACTGATTAAATATTAATTCCAAGACCACCTAAGAAACAATCCATTACTACTTGCTCTGGTAAATCAATCTCTATCAACAAATGATTTAAGGATTCAATATACTCATCTACAAATCCAGTTTGCTGTAACTATTTCACTGGACCATCAAATTGATATGCCTAACATTCATGAATCGTGCCTCCACATGTGCAAAGTACTCATCCCATGCTACCTCCTCATCATGATGCCGATTCATGAAATTTAAATGCCATTTAAGAGCCTTCCTTAATGCTCGATCCATAAAAATCATTGTTGTCAAATTTTAAAATCTCTATGTGAATTTGCTTGGTTGGTGGAACGTTTTGCAATTGAACATTAAACTTACAGATTACGATGAGGTGTGCTAGAAGAACCATCATAATTATCACCCATGGCCACCATGATGAAGCTACACAATGCTGGCAGAAAGCTCTCTTAAACAACCTTTAATTCTCAATATCATCTTTTTCAAATCTTGAATATTTATAGAGTTTTTTTCCAACTGAGACCGATTACTCTCAGCGAGTCCTGACAACATCTCTAGTCGATGTTCGATATCACCAATGTGTTGTAATCATGTCTCTAGCACCATTGCCAAAAGACGGCTCTGATACCAAATTAATGTAGCTGAGAGAGAAAGAGAGAATTCGGGAGTCTTTATTCAACAACTGTAACAGTTTACAATGCTTCATATTTATAGACTGCTATTTGTGTACAAGACACTGAGCTATCAAGTAACTAATCAATAACAGATTCTATTAATAACACGTATCATGATCAAAAAGTGGGAAAATCAATCAAAACTAGTCATGAACTGATTTTTTTTATTTTAAAAATATTGATAGACCAAAACAATGTTACTTATGTTTTGAATTGTCTATTACTTGGTTTTTATTTAGTAGTATACATTTATTTGATGATTTTTATATATATTTAATTTTTCATAATAAGTCAGTAAGTTCATTGCAGCTCAACTGGTGAAGTCGCGCACGTGCACAAACAAGGTCTTTGGTTTGAGCCGTGGAGAAGTCACTTTGAGAAGGAATTATATGGTGGTGACATGTGGCAATACAAGGTAGCATGTGAGATAGCGGCACGTGGCGGCAGAGGTGAGGTGGCCGGGACATGTGGAGATAAGGTCGTGACACGTGGCAACGGAGTTGAGGTGGCAGCAACATGTGGCGGAGGAGGTAAGGTAGCAGCGACACATGGAGATGAGGTGGTAACATGTGGCAACCAAGGTGAGGTAGCATTTTAATTTTTTTAAAAAAATATGTTAGCAATGGAAATTCCGTCGGCAATTAGCAATAGAATCAGAATTCCATCAGTAATATGATTTCATCGCTAATCCGTCACTAAATAAAAATTCTGTCAGTAAATTCCATCGCTAATCAGATGTTTTTTAGTAGTGATCATAACTCGTGGTCCCCCCTATAATTCATCCTACTTCCTTTGTCGACATTTTCCTCATGTTTCCATTGTCTCCACCACATTACTTCGTCATTGTTACCATCTTTTTTGTGTTGTTCATCCTTGTTGTGAGTTTTCCTTGCTTTTTCCTCCATTCATTTCGTAGTGTTTCAGGTACAATATTTTTCACATGTTTGGTTGTTTGTAGTAACAATAATTGATGTGGGTAATGTTTTGTTGAATTATTAGAAACATGATTTTGACATTGTATTTAATGCTTTTATGTGTTAGTATGCGGGGATAATGGCATTGGGATTAGAATGTTTTGTTATTTAATTGGCATGAATAGATTTCTTACTTGTCATGGGGATGATTGAAATAATTGTTGGAATTTAATTTAAGTGTGATTATTTTTCATGTTATATTGGTTTTTTTGGGAAAAATGACAAATAAAGACCCCGAATTACTAAAATTACAAGGAGGTTACCTGAATAAGCAAAATTGCTAGGAGGGACTCAGTTTCAAATTGCAAATAGCAAATATTGGTGAAAAAAATGAAATTGCCCCTCAATAAATCAGCTTTATTAATTGTAGAGATATGATATGATTTGATATGTAAATATTATGTAATTATGATTAGGATTTGATAGGATATGATATTATCATAATGGGCCATTAATGCAGAGGCTCCTCTCACTTGTATATATATGTGTATATTCTGATCAATGAAACACAAGAGAATTATTTTCCATATTATTCTATTCCCTACATGGTATCAGAGCGTGGGAATTTTCTCTCTGGGTGTTAATTTTCGTTGCTACAGTACCGCCGCAGCACTGTTCACTCGGCGTCCGTACAGTGTCCGTACAGTCCGTACGCCTGCACTGTTCATCGACTTTTCCGGCGTCCGTACAGTCCGTGCGCTCTGCACTGTTCACTCGGCGTCCGTACGGTTTATTACTTTCTAGCGTTCTGTTTCGTTTCTGGCGCATCTCCGGCACGCTGTTTGTGCAATTCAGTTCTGTTTGCAGCTCCCTGTGTAGTTGTTGGCCTTTTCACTGCCTTGGTATTCATTAGGTAATCCAGGTATTGTGCTTTGTGTTCCTGTGTAACACTCTTTCGCATTCCCTTTGGTTAGTGCACTTCATCTATGGCGGAAATTAAATCTGTCTCGGAGCTTGTCCCAACTATTACTAAAAATTACTGATCACAAGTTGACTTGGGTAAATTATTTGGATTGGAGTAAAACCATTCGCCTCTATCTGCGGAGCATTGAGAAGGAAGACCATCTGACTGATGATCCTCCAACAACTGATTCCAAAAAGACCTGGTTGCGGGATGATGCACGGCTATTTTTCCAGATCCGTAATTCCATTGACAGTGAGATTATTCCCTCTATTAATCACTGTGAATTGGTTAAGGAACTAATGGATTATTTAGATTTTTTGTATTCAGGAAAAGGAAATATCTCTCGTGTTTACGAGGTCTGCAAAGCTTTCTATCGTTCTGAAAAACAGGATCGTCCTCTCAAAGCCTACTTTATGGACTTTAAAAGGATGTATGAAGAACTGAATGTGTTAATGCCTCTTACTGCTGATTTGAAGGTTCAGCATAAGCAACGGGAGCAAATGGCTATTATGAGCTTTCTTACTGGTCTCCCACCTGAGTACGACACAGTTCGGTCTCAAATCTTATCCGGATCTGAAATTTCTGACCTTCAAGATGTGTTTTCCAGAGTAATGAGAGCTGAGAATCTCTTGCCACCAGCTGCTAGTATTCCTACAAGTGCCTTGCTCAGTAAGGGCACCTATGAGACTCGTAGTCCTATTGATAACCGCGGGGGGCCTACCCGTGGTGGTTCGAAGCAAGGGGGAGCCCCTTCTGACTCCAGTGGGGTAGTGTGTTATTACTGCAAAGAACCGGGGCATACAAAACGCACATGTCGAAAACTTCAGAATAAACAGCAACGGAATAACTCTGCCCACGTGGCTACACAAGCCAGTGACACAGTCACGATTTCTGCTGCTGAGTATGCCCAGTTAAAATCTACTACACCGTCTGTGAGTGCCGCAGCTACAACAGGTAATAATGCTACTGCCCTTGCTTCTTCTTCCTCAAAGTGGATCATAGATTCCGGGGCTACTGATCATATGACAGGTAACAGCCATCTCTTCTCCTCTTATAATGCTTTTGCCAATCCGTCAAGTGTTTCCATCGCTGATGGTTCCCAGTCTCAAGTTCTCGGTTCTGGCACTGTTAATCCCACACCCTCTATCCGTTTGTCATCTGTGCTAAATGTTCCTAAACTTGCTTTTAATCTCCTATCTCCCAGTAAACTCACTCGTCAACTAAACTATTGGGTCTCACTTTTTCCCTCTCATTGCTTGATACAGGATCTTTTGACGAGGCGGATTATTGGTAGAGGTTATGAATCTGGCGGGCACTATATACTGGATGATCGGGTGTCTCATGCGGTAGCTTGCGCTAGCAGTCATTCTCCCTTTGAAGTTCATTGTCGATTGGGTCATTTGTCTTTATCTTCTCTTAAGAAAGTTTATCCTCAATTTCAGCATTTGTCGTCTTTAGATTGTGAGTCATGTCAGTTTGCCAAGCATCATCGTCTTCCTTTAGTGTCTCGTGTCAATAAACGGGTTTCATCCCCTTTTGAGTTAGTCCATTCTGATGTTTGGGGTCCTTGTCCTGTAGAGTCCAAAGCAGGGTTTAAATACTTTGTTACATTTGTTGATGATTATTCCCGGACAACTTGGTTATATTTAATGAAACATCGTTCTGAATTGTTTTCCCATTTTTGTGCCTTTTGTGCTGAGATTAAAACTCAATTTAATGTTTCTATTCGCACCTTACGAAGTGATAATGCTAAAGAATATCTCTCTGCTTCGTTCCAATCTTACATGCTTCAAAATGGTATACTTCATCAGTCGTCTTGTGTCGATACACCAGCTCAAAATGGTGTTGCAGAAAGAAAAAATCGCCACCTACTTGAGGTGGCCGTGCACTTTTGTTTCAAATGCAGGTTCCTAAACCATTTTGGGCTGACGCGGTCTCCACTGCCTGCTTCCTTATTAACCGAATGCCTTCCTCTGTTCTTGATGGTAACTCTCCTTTTTCTACCCTCTTTCCTTCTAAGCCTTTGTTCCCTATTGCTCCTAAGATATTTGGGTGTGTCTGTTTTGTGCGGGATGTACGTCCATCTATTTCAAAGTTAGACCCAAAGTCTCTTAAATGTGTCTTCCTTGGATACTCTCGGGTCCAAAAAGGTTATCGTTGTTTCTCACCTACTCTCAATCGTTATTTAGTATCTGCAGATGTCACCTTTCAGGAGTCCACACCATATTTCTCGCATTCTTCCCCACCTGCTCCACCTGCGGAGGAGGATGACCTTCTAATATACTCTGTCACCTCACCATCACTGTCGTCGCAAGCACCTGCTCCCGCACTCGTTCAACCCTTTGATCGTGTGTCTACACGACGGTCAACGGAGATTACTACCGCCACGCCAGCTTCTATTCCTCCCTGGTCCGCCTCGCCCTCAGATCCTGAGTTGAGCAACACTGAACCTCGTTCTGACCCTAATCCTGAGACACCTCCTGTTCCAGACCCGGATGCCTCTCTTGATCTACCCATTGCCCTTCGCAAAGGTAAACGTACTTGTGCCCATCCTATTTCGTCCTTTGTTTCATATGACCGCTTGTCTCCTGTGTCCAGTTCCTTTGTTGCCTCCCTAGATACTATCTCTGTGCCCAGAACTATTCGTGAAGCCTTGGCCCACTCAGGTTGGCGTGCTGCAATGGAAGAGGAGATGGCGGCCCTTGATCGAGCTGGTACATGGACCCTGGTCGATTTACCGGCAGGTAAAAAGGCCATTGGATGTAAATGGGTGTTAACTCCGAAAACTAAGGCTGACGGCACACTTGACCGCCTTAAGGCTCGCCTTGTGGCTAAAGGTTATGCACAAACCTATGGCATTGACTATTCTGAAACCTTTTCTCCTGTTGCTAAGCTCTCATCTGTCCGTCTGTTCATCTCTCTGGCTGCTACTTATGATTGGGATCTACATCAATTAGACATTAAAAATGCATTCTTACATGGTGATCTTTATGAAGAGGTCTATATGGAGCAACCACCTGGGTTCGTTGCTCAGGGGGAGCATGGGAAAGTATGTCGCCTTAAGAGGTCCTTGTATGGTTTGAAGCAAAGCCCTCGTGCATGGTTTGACCGGTTCAGTACTGTCGTACAGAAATTTGGCATGAGCCAAAGCAAGTGCGATCATTCTGTATTTTATCAAAGAACAGCGGCTGGCATGATTCTCTTGGTGGTATATGTAGATGACATTGTGATCACAGGCAGTAATGGTTCGGGCATCTCGTCCCTCAAGTCCTTTCTTAATTCCCACTTTCAGACGAAGGATCTGGGCTCTCTGACATACTTTCTAGGTATTGAAGTTATGCGAAGCAAGAAGGGCATATTACTGACACAGCGCAAATATGTTCTTGACCTCCTGAAGGAAACTGGAAAGTTGGGAGCAGCACCGACCAAGTTTCCTATGGTTCACAACCCACTCCTTGACGCTGATGGGAGCATACCACTCGATGATTCTCTTGATGATGAGAAACGGATGCTTGAGGCTCAGAAGAGCAAACCATTTGAGAATCCTGAGAGGTACAGGAGAATGATTGGCAAGTTAAACTATCTCACTGTAACTCGTCCGGATATTACTTATCCAGTCAGTGTACTAAGCCAGTTCATGGCATCCCCGACTGTCAGACAGTGGGAAGCCTTGGAGCACGTGTTACATTATTTGAAGGGATGTCCAGGTCGTGGGATATTATACAAAAATCATGGCCATACAGACATTGAGTGCTTCTGTGATGCAGATCATGGTGGATCAAAGGCCACGAGACGGTCTACTACAGGATACTGTGTCTTTGTGGGCGGGAATCTGGTATCCTGGAAAAGCAAGAAACAAAATGTGGTGTCCAGATCGAGCGCAGAGGCAGAATACCGAGCTATGGCACAGTCTGTATGTGAGATAATCTGGATATATCAGCTATTAAAGGAAGTTGGCCTCAAAACCACTTTGCCAGCAAAGTTGTGGTGTGACAATAAGGCTGCCCTACATATAGCCTCCAATTCTGTGTTCCATGAACGTACCAAACATATTGAGATTGATTGTCATTTTATCAGAGACAAGCTTAAGGAGAACTTCATCTCCACTGGATATGTGCGTTCTAGTGATCAATTAGGCGACCTTCTCACTAAAGCTCTAAATGGGACTCGTGTTGACTATCTGTGTGACAAGTTGGGCATGCTTAACATTTATGCTCCAACTTGAGGGGGAGTGTAGAGATATGATATGATTTGATATGTAAATATTATGTAATTATGATTAGGATTTGATAGGATATGATATTATCATAATGGGCCATTAATGCAGAGGCTCCTCTCACTTGTATATATATGTGTATATTCTGATCAATGAAACACAAGAGAATTATTTTCCATATTATTCTATTCCCTACATTAATGAAGGTTGGGACAAAGAATATGATCAGTGGAAAGCTTAGAAGAGAAGATTGGTGTTATGCAAGCTTAAGGATCAACTCAATAATGTTTCTAATGTTTCTAAGCAAACTCTTCTTCTTCTCTACCCTCTAAGATTGAGGAATGTCATCTTGTTCTTGAATGTGGTGAGTGGTATTGTGGGTCGTTCGGTGATAGGTATGGAGGGAGTGAGAGGTAAAATTGATTATGGAATAATGTTGTTTGAGGAGGTTTCGATTAGGTTGAGCTATAAAATTTTTGTCTTTGTAGTCAGATTGCTTAATGTGATTTTCATGGGGTAAGTTGCCATTGATTTGTGTTAGGAATGTCACGAATGGGAGAGTAGGGGAGGGGAAATGGAAGGAGAAAATGATTGTTAGTTTGAGTGTGAACTTTAATGTGGTGCAGTGGGGGGAGGGAATGAAGATCTTGTCATTTAGAATGTTGAACTTGTAAAACCCTACTGTCAAGTGGGGAAGAGAAGAGGTAGTTGGTCTTGATTTCTAAATGTAAACAATTCGTTTGATTAAATAAAAGTATACTGAAGCTGATATATTTATTATGTGCAAATTGTTGTTCCAGGTTAGCATGAGAAAATAAACTGTAACAATGGGTCAAGCTGTTGTAAGGATTTATTTTGTTTTTGCCATATTGGTGGGTATTTTGAAAGAAACAGTAAAGGTGAAGTTAAATACGCTGGAAGGAGTGTGAGAGCAAGTAGCGTAAAAGAAGGGATAACACTCGAGGAATTAAGGGGAAAAATATCACAGTGGATACATAATGATGCTAAAGGGTGTGAGATTAAGTACACAGTTAAGTTTGTTGACAGCACAATGATTGATCTTTATCATGAAGGTGATATTTGTAATATGTTTAGATATAATGATAGCAGTGCCCATTTGTATGTAGCAATAAAAGGGAACCAAAAGGAAGGTAGAGCAGCGAATGATGGAGAAATGTAAGTGGTTAAAGTTTTGCAGTTGATAGTGGATTATTGTTAATACCCAAAGAAATGTTGTTATTATGTGTATTGTGTAGCAATAGAAAGTTGTTATTTGATAACAAATTATTAAGTTGGATATAAATCTTGTTATTAAGGTAACGAAGTTGCAGTTTGAAGTTGCAATTTGGTAATGAGTTGTTGCTAATTTCCATACAAATCTTATTATATTGCTTAGTCTGTTGCAGTAGGAAGTTGTTATTTTCCAATAAATTGTTGATATTTCCCATATAAATCTTGTTATTATACTTATTCTGTTGTGTAGGAAGTTGTTATTGAGTAATGAATTGTTGGTATTTCCCATACAAATCTGGTTATTATGCTTACTTTGTTACAGTAGAGAGTTGTTATTTAGTAATGAATTGTTGCTATTTTCCATACGAATATTGTTATTATGCATAAATCTGTTGCAATAGGAAGTTGTTATTTTCTAATGAATTATTGATATTTCCCATACAAATCTTGTTATTATGGTTTTTCTATTGCAGTAGGAAGTCGTCATTGGGTAATAAATTGTTGGTATTTCACATACAAATCTTCTTATTATGCTTACTTTGTTAAAGTAGAGAGTTGTTATTTGGTAATGAATTGTTGCTATTTTCCATACAAATATTATTATTATGCGTAAGTCTGTTGCAATAGGAAGTTGTTATTTCTCAATAAGTTGTTGCTAATTTCCATTCAAATGTTGTTATTATGGGTGCAGGACTGAGAATTTGTTTAGGCTGTCAGAAGAAATGATTGAAGGTGAGGTGAACCTTAGTAATAACTATAAGCCACTCAGTGTTAACAATGGTAATGAATGCCTAACGTATAAAGGAAGGGGTTTAAGTTTGAGAAACTTGTGTGACGACTCAAAGAGTGAAGGGACATTGAGAGGTAATTTGAATTAGATGAAATGGGTTGGAGTTTGTGTAGGAGTGGGGCAATATATTCCACATGCCTAAGCTTTTAGGGAGGCTGCGTACAGATTTAGTATTGTATAGAAGTTTGCAACGACATATGTGAGAAACAGTAGGGAGAAGATGAATATACGATGTAAAATGGAAGGGTGTCCATGGAAGATTTTAGCAAATGTTATTAAGAGGGATACTCTTTTATTATGCATGACATATTCGTTAATAAACACATTCATTTAGCACAAGACAATCTAGATGTCACTTATGCTAGGAATGCTGCATTGACGTCATCAATAATACTTAAGGAGATAAGGAACCATGCCGAAAAGCATCCTACTAAAATA